AGGAATCTTGGAGGGCCTGTGGCTTCGCTGTGAACCCACTGTGCCTACCGCAGGGCCTGGCTGGAGCGAGCAAGGGGCGGGGGTGGGGTGGGGCAGAGAGGTGGACGCAGCCAGCATCAGGGAGAAGTGCTGCGGGGGAACCCCTGTGCTCGCTCAGGCCTCCAGGAGCCCTGTTTACCTTCAGGTTCCCGACCTCTGCGCTGAGTAGCTGGAGAGAGACCCGGAGGCACTCCGGCCTTAAGTCGCGATCTTTCTGGGCTTCTCGTTCCTCATTTGTAAAATGGGGTTAGGCCTCCCTACCCATCACCGCTTGTAACTGATGTCATTTAGGGGAGAGTGCTTTTAAACTAAAGTGTTTCACCAATGTGTATGATGTATTGTCATAGGCAGTGGGGCATAGATAGTAGTTAGGAGTCTGGTTCGGGAGCCAGATTGCCTGGGTTTGAATCCTGGCTCGTCCTTTGCCGAAAGTTTTCTAACCTGTCTCTCAGCTCATTTTCAAATGGGGATAAAAATTGTACCTGCTTCCATGGGGCTATTTGGAGGAAGGAAGAGTTAATGTTCTAGGTAAAATATTTGGAACAGTGCCTGATACCGTAACTAATCACGTAAATGATTTTTGTTATTGACGTTAAATACTTATAACCTATCTAATCACATCCTCTTCACCATCCACCCATCCTATGCAGTTTACAGGTTATCTTCCTTCTGCCTCTATTCAGAAATTCCTTAACAAGATTCCTGTTGGGTGTGGAAATTCACCAACTCACTCCCCATTCCCAGGGCAGCCCGTTCTGGCTTCAGATAGTTGGGACAAAAGCAAGTTCATGTTGTGTAGAAATCTGCCGTCGTGTTGCTTCATCTAGGATGCTAGCTCTTTCCTTAGAGCCACATACAGAACACTGTAACTCCATCTTTTACTTCGTAGCTTTTCTGCCTTGGAAGCTGTTACCTCATGCTGTTCACCCTGTGTTCAGTCTGGCATCCAAGGAATGTAATTTCCATTTGGTTTCTCTTAATATTCTTATCTTCAAGTGGTGTCCAGGTACGTTATCTTAGATTTTGAAGAGTATGGATGTATCCATTCTGCCATGCTTAACGTGCATAACAAAATGGGGGATTCAGAGAAGTATACAGTAGGTGCCATACCTTCAAGGTACGTAAGGTATAAGTGTACACCAAATGACTGACCGCAAAGTATTCATAGGAGAGATTATTAAAATCATGATAAAATGTAACAGGCGTTTTCTTGATTTCCAGGCTTTATGTCATGTCACCATTTTCCTTACATACTTAGAATCATTACTTATGTCCTTACAGTTGAGACTGATTATGTTTATTCTTGATTCCTTTAAGACAAATAAGGAAGGATGCTTCTTTCAGTGTATTTTTATATAATATACTTAATGTACAAATACATATTAAGCCTTATTAAACTTCTCTGTTTTAGACCTTTGCATTGCAGCTGTAATTAAAGAATGCTGTCTTGTTACACTGTCACTGAAGAGCCAAAACTTAGATGTAGAAACAGATGTGTTATGTGCAGTCCTTTACAGCCATCACAACAGAATGGGCCGCCACAAGCCCTATTTGGCTCTCAAACAGGTAAGGAGGAAGCCCTGTGTTTAAAACTCAGCATGTTTACTTGACGGAGATCACGTTACCACTTAATATTTTGTTATTTATGGAAACTCAGTAAATACTTGTGACTTACAGGTCTTCAGTTCACAGTCTTCAGTTCATTTTTTTGTTTTTTTTGTTTTTTAAAGAATTTCAAAAAATTGTTTATTTAGAAAAGAACTATGTTTACTTCTTTCCTAGTCTTGTTTCTAGTTGGTAATTTTTATGAAAAGTTTTCATCATTATACACAATCTGTACCTTTGCCTAGTTCAAAGATACAGTGATTTGATCAAGACAAAGTGTTGGATTAAGAAATAATTTCCTGGGCATAATCAAAATCCTAAAATCAAGACAAGAACAAAGTTGTGGGTTATTTATGGTGGGGTGTATAATCTAATCGGTAATATATTAGAGTATTTGGGTATAGAACAAGTTGTATAAAGTGGTTTCATGTAATTTTTGGAGCTTAAGACAGAATTGGGCCCTGCATTTTACACCATATAGCAGAGCCTCCTAAGCTGAGTTCTTTATATGAGCATTCATTGATTCACTTTATTCATTCTGCAAGTATTTTTTGTAGCTTTCTATGTGTTAGAGACTGTGCTTGGTACTAGGTCTACAGGGCATAAAAAAGATAGTCTTTAACCTCACAGATTCATGCTCCCTTGTTAATTTTCCACCCCCATTACTTAAGGCAAAAGAGATGAAGATTTTTTCATCAAAAAGGATCTGGGACCGTGGTCTTTCCCTAAGTTTTCTTCTCTGGGCAGTTTTTATCTCCTTCTGAGTCTTTCACTCCCAGACTAAACTTATCTCAGATTGAATGTGTTTCTTCTGGTTTCCAAGCTGTGAATAATTATCCAGTCAGAAAAATTTGGTGTTCCATTTTCTTTGCTTCTGCCTTTTATGTAGCTCAGCCACCCAATTGATCAGTCAAAACTTTGTCTGCATCTTTTAGTTCTGGCAGCATCTTCTTTTTTTAACTTTGTCAATTTTCAGTTGTCTTGCTATCCTGATCTTTCCTCCTCCAGTCTTTACTACACTCTGCCATTTTCTATGAACCAAAATCAGATTACTCATCCTGAAACACAGCTTTGGTATTTAATGGTTCTCCATTGTATACTGAATAAAGACCAAACCTTTTAACCTGGCTTACAAGAGCCTCCATGATCTGTTTTCCTTAGCTCAGGCTTCTCTCTCACCTTCATCTGTTTTTGTACTCCAGGTAACCTGAATTCTTCACGAGTCCCCCTGCTCACCCCATTCATCCCCTCACCTGAGCCGTTACTCACCTGGTATGTTTAGAATGCCCAGCCCATCCATCTCTGCCTGTTAAAGGCCTTATCATCCTCTAAGCCCCATTTTTAAGCCTTCCCAACAGTAATAACTTCTTCCTGAGGGGTAATGTATGTGCGTATTATAGTAATCTCATTTTAAATTGCATTTTCCTGATTAGCAAAGTTGAACTCCTATTTTTATGATTCTTGGTTTCTTGGGACTCCCCTTTGTGCTGCTTACGGCATCTGGCAGTCTGTTGTGTACTGTTGCAGGAAACTCAGACAGAGCGACAGGACACCAAGGCTCGGGAAGCAACATTTATTGATGCTGGCACCGGCTCAGCGGATTTACATCCAGAGGCTGAGCTCCGACCCGGGCGGGACTCGAGGCTGTATACCCTGAGGTTTCCAGGTTGGCAGCTAAGATTTATTATTAGGACATGTGGCCATTGTGCCAGTCCTGACTGGCTCCCGCGTGAGGTAGGAATTCAGAAATATTAAACGCGAAAGTCTTAATGGCCATGCGGTCTAGGAATATCTGTCTGAAGCTCCCTGCTACAGCGCGGAATCCTTAGTAACCACATGGTCTGGGAAGGCCTTTGTCTGGGGCCCACTGCCACAGTATAGGGATTGTGTACACGTTTTATGTTCCCTGCCATCCCTGAGACTTGAGAACATGTCTCATGCTGCTGCAGCATTGCTACCTTATATCTGCTTAACACATCACAGTTTACAGAGAACTTTCATCTACTTGAAGATTTATTTTTTTCTACCTTCAAAAGCTAGGTAATGGAATTAGCTTCACTCTAATGTTCCCTCAAATAGAGCACAGAAAATAGTCCTGATTCCTCTTCTGTACTTTGAGTAAATGAAGACTAGTATGTTCCTCCATGTTCTCTCTTCCTTGCTGAACTTTTCAAATTCCCACTGCCTCCTTTTTTTGAACCATAGCTCACTTACTGTGTTTCCCAGGTGCTTTACCATCTTGGTTTGTCAGGGCTTCTCTCAAAGGATGGTGTCCAGAATGGAAAAATGATAAAGATAAGGAGCTGACCTCAGAGAATTTAGGGATTGTTGCTTCCATTGTTTTGAAAACTATGCTGTTAAGAGAGAATGCATAACTTTGAATTTTTAGTAGCATGTATGCGGCTCTAGCAAGATACTATCTTTGCCAGTATCCGTGCCCATCGGCTTCATTACATCCTTCAGTCTGGATGCAGTCCCATGTACGCCCTTTGTGTGGTATTTCCTGAGGACGACAGAGTTCTTAACCACATTTTGCATAATGGATGGCTCTTACCTTTTCTTTTTTCTTTTTTAAAAATAAAAAATGCTATTGAGTGCCTTCTCAACATTCAGTACTGAGTTACAATGGTGGGTAAAATAGACAAAATATATTGCCCTCGTGGAGCTTAGAGTTGAGAGGAGAAAGGCAGTCAGTCAATCAGCCAGTCAGTCATGATGGTGATAAGTGCTATGGAGAAAAATAAAGTGGGGAGAGGGAGTGATGAGAGGACTGCAGTTTTAAGTAGGGCATATCTACTTTTATTTTAATATTAATTAAATATTTTGTATGTCTTGTTTATTTTTACTAATTACTTAGTAGTAGTTTTTTGGCAACTAGAAATTGGGAAGTGTCTTAAATACTATGTGATTTCCCAGCATGCCTTGTATGTAGTAGGTGTTCAGTATACATTTGTAAAGTGAATAAACTGATCACTTTCCACATGCCTGTGGCACTTACAGATTGTTGAAATTTTGTAGTTCATTAAAAAAATTTACTATCTTGTTTTAATACTTTTACTATTAGAATCATGTTGCTTCAGAAAAATTATAATCTTGATAATAATCTTATACTTACTTTGGTCCCCTTTATAGCATCACATAAAGTAAATACTTGATCATAACCTAACTTGAGAGATTTGGCTAGCTGGATAAATTTCAAAATTTTAACCAGAAGCAATTGCTTCGGGTTGTGGATTTCTTTACCCTTAAAAAAAGGTATTCTGTGGTATTCAGTGTATTTCCATACTTGGAAATTTTGGACCTCTTTGCTTTCCTGGTCACATCAGTGGCCTTGTCTATATTATATACATATGAATTTAAGCTACTCTTTCCTTTTCAGGTTGAGCAATGTTTAAAACGTTTGAAAAACATGAATTTGGATGGTTCAATTCAAGATTTGTCTGAGTCGTTTTCTTCTAAGTAAGTGGTTCAGTTGCTTTGTGATGGGCTTTGTGGTGGGCTGGGAACGCAATGTCTTGCAAGCTTGCTTGTCTCTCTCTAGTATGTATTATCCTTAGGGCACTGACAGACATTTTTAGAAACTAAACATTAGAAACTAAATTTAATAATGAGAACTCTCCCTTTGGACTTTTTTTCTCCTTGGTGTTGGAATATATAATAACTGTATTTTTTGTTTTAATAAGGGGCACCTAGTATTTGTGGTAATCTCCCTTTGTTGGCTTCTGGGAAGGACGGGCATGACTTGAAATCTAGATCATGATAGATTATGTTGAAACATCAGTGTTGATCAACTTCAGTGAGTCATTATTGAGCATAACTACCTCAAATTGAGCTTAAAGTCTGCACTTGAAACTATATAAGTGCTTCATATTTAATAATGAAAGTAATGTACTTTTCTATTTTTCTCAAGTGAAAATCAGCCTGTAACCACCAACACGTGTGTCATCCCCAGCCAACCAGTGGTGGAACTGGTGTTGATGAAGATTTTGGGAGCCTGCAAATTGTTACTTCGCTTGTTGGACTGTTGCTGCAAGACATTTCTGTATCCTTGAATCAACTGAAATATCTTCTTCTGAATTGGAATTGTTTGAACAAATGTAGTAGTATTTCTGTTTGAAAGCTAGGGGGTGTATATATATAGCCTATGAGAATTCTTAAAATTTTGCTTCGTGGCTTCCTCCCAGGAATTGCCTAATACAACCATTGCCCCATTGCCAGAGATTGTTTCTCTCTAGTATGTATTATCCTAAGGGCACTGGCAGTTAGAAAGTCTTGTTTGTTTTTTCCTTAGCTGAGCCATCCTGCCATCTGTTGACAGCTGTTGGTAGCTCAGCTCGGGCTGGGAATCGAACCGGCAACACTGTTGCTCAGAGTTCACACTTTTGAGCGAGCTCTTAACCAACTGAACCACTTGGCCAGCCCTAGAAATTCTTAATCTTAGAAACTAAATTTAATAATGAGAGCTCTAGCAGAGTGTACGAGTATATGACTTTATTTTTAAGTTTCTAGGACTTAAATAGAATGTATTTTAAGGCTTTAATTCCTTCAAGAAAATTCTTTCTATTTCCAATCTAGTTCTTTCAGAAATGTAACTTATAGAATCCAAATTACTTTGGTTTTGTTTTCCAACTTAAACTTGATTATCCAGGTTGACTGTGAAACATTTAGGTTTGCAAGAATTCATTATTTTAAACCTTGTGATGGTTGGGCTGGTGAGCAGATTATGGTATGTATGTACACACCTTTGAAATCTTTCATTTCTATTCTAACTCTAACTCAACCTAGGTTTCGCATTGGTTTTCATAGTTTCCCAGGGATGCTGAAGTTGTGGAAGTTATGTTTCTTTATTTGATCAGAGTTTATTTGGGGTGGATTGGGAAACTAAATGTTGACGATTAAGTCAAAAGATTAGGCTTTAAATCTGAAGCCAAGAGATCACCTCAACACTAAACGATTAAGCAAATGAATGCCTAAGATTAGCAACTGGAATACTAAAAAAAATGGTTGCTAATCATACAGCAATTGGCCCATTTAAAATGAAGGTGTTGCTGGGCAGGCTGTATCACTTGATACTTTCTGCCTCTAGATTTCTAATTTTTAATGGCAGTGACCTTCATTATGTGCTCTAGATTCTTTTCTTCCACCTGAAACACCACTGCTTTTTGAGGCATAGTTAGTTGATGTCAGGAACAGTGATAATAGTTGCAAAC